TCATGTACTTGAAGAAACAATCACGTAGGCATGCCGTGAAAGCCTTGAGGGCGGTCTTGTCATATGCCTCAGCGTAGCGAGAATACTCATGGCTGAAACGATTGGCATACTCTCGTAGTGATTCGTCCGGCTTCGGGCGAATAATGTACAAGTCGTATGCAGAATGCAAGTGATCGGTCTGGAAGATGTGTTGAGAGACAAATAGTTTCCTCAGTTCCTCAAATCAGTCTACTGTCTCAGGTGGAAGACAGCAATACCAGTTTAGAGCTCCGCTAGAGAGGGTGGAGGGGAAGAGAAGACATCGCTCTTCGTCGGTGTGCATCTGATATGCCATGGTAGACTCAAAGAGGTTAAGAATTGGGTCCTCCCTTCCAGTATAGAGTTGTAAACCAAGCTTTTGTTTTGTCTTTGCTTAAAAGGGGGTGTCGAGGATCCTCCTTGTAAGAGGGTCAGGCCTATGTTAGTTCCAATCATGTATCTTAGCTTGTCGTTCGACCTTCAACTTGTTTACTTCCTTAAGAAGCTGTAGGACAAGAGGGTCCTGAGTGAAGTCATGTACCACTGGAGCTTTCTTTCGTAAATCTCCATATCCTCTTGGAAGTATGAAGGTTTGATCAAGAGCATGTGATTTTTCCCTAGACTCGCCGTACTGACTTCCAAGGTATGTTTGTCGAAACATTTCTAAGTCCCCTATACCTTCGTGTTTCTCTAGGACTTGTTGCCCCTTCCCTAAATTGGTAGTCGGCCTGGGACATGGGAGGGGACCGAGTCTTTCAGAGACCCTTGGGTCATTGATCTTCGAGCTTACATGGATGGGATTGTCTTGATGTTGCTTTAGGAAATCTCGACAGTCGCAAAAGATGACTTTCGATCCTTCCACTCCTTCTGTAAGGATGTGTCTTCCTCCACTTCTCTTACTTCGGGTCGAAGCATCTAGGTTGAGAGAAATCTCATGTTGATCAATGTTTTGATGATTAACTCGCTCCTCATCAAGGATACCCATGTCGAAGGAAGGTAACCCTCCGTGTTGGGGGGCACCCAGATGATGGTTGATGTCCACAGGGGTAACGAGCTCACGTGTTTGAGTACGCCTAGTTTCGTGGAGCGTCTCAAAGAGCTTCTCATACTTCTCCTGGAGGACCTCATTCTTCATTGCTATTTTGTTGTTCTGAGCTTCTAGTTCATCAACTTTAGCTTGAAGAGCAACCCTCTTTCCTTCCTTCTTTCGTTGCCTCACACCAAGTGCAAGAGGGGTGTCATTCTGCGTAATGTGGCTTCCTTCGCTCCCCATGTTGGAGAGGAATGCCTGGTCAAAAGAGAGTGTACGAATGGTGGAAACCAGCTTAACAAAGCTGAAGGGAGTAGGAATAAGTGTCGTTCCTACAGACGGCGCCAAATGTTGATGCACAAAATCAGTAAGGACTTTGATACAATAGAAAGTGTTAAGTTTGTGACCTTCGCTAGATTGCTCCAATCACTAGTGTGGATAAGTATGTAAATGGATAGAGACAAGGAAGCAAACACAAGATGTACGTTGTTCACCCAGATTGGCTACGTCCACGGAGTAGAGGAGTTCTCATTAATTGTGAAGGGTTTACACAAGTACATAGGTTCAAGCTCTCCTTTTATGAATACTAGTGAATGATTTAGTACAAATGACATTAGGAAATATTGTGAGAGAATGATCTTTATTTATAGAAGAGAGTTTCTAGTTTCATTCTGACATTGACACGTGTCGTGTTGTGATTGGCTTCTGATGTTGACACATGTCGCGCTATGATTGGCTTTTGATGTCGACACGTGTCGCTGTGATTGGCCTCCTGGTTGGAGGGAAACTCTTCTGGGTTCTTGACGATATTACGTTGACCGATGCTCAGTAGTTTCGGGATTGGTCAAGTATGGTACAAACAATATATATATATATATATATATATATATATATATATATACACATATATATATATATAACTTTTTAATCCTTAAATGACATAACTTAACAAATTGAACCTAAAATAACAAAACCAAGTTAACATGGGAATGAGGGAGTTAATTAGGATAGTATACCTGGTTGTGGACCCGAGGCATCGGTTGTGGACCCGAGGCATCGGTTGTGGACCCGAGGCATCGGTTGTGGATCCCGATGGCGACATTTGCTCCGGAGTGCGGGGGCACCGATGAGCACGTCAGGTGCTAACAGGTAGCACCACCGAAGAAGTCGAAGATGCCTGCGCCTGTGGGATTGGAGGACCAACTGGGTCAACCGGATTCACTGGCCTATGGTCCATCTCTGCCAGAGCAGTGGCAGCAGTAGTAGGAGGTGTAGTTGTCATCGCCTTCCGGCTTCTAATGAGCTATGACATCTACAAAATTGGAAATAAACCATTACAATCCGAAATCTAACTCACTGTCCAAATTCAAAACCCAAATTTAAGAACCCTAATTCAAAATCAAGTAACCCCTAACTTAAGAACCCTAAATCTCACCCTGTAAATTAAGCACCCTAAATCTAACCCCACTGCCCTAATTCTAACCCTTTACTTAAAATTAATAAACCCCCAAATTTAAGAGGGAATGTTACGATAGTCAACGATTTACTATCAAAGTGGGGTTATTAGATATCCAAAAATCAAGGAAGAAATTGACTTACCTATTATAGGAGTTGTTTTTGCTCTTCGTTGTAGATATAAGCCCCTGTACTATACTCACATCAATATACAGAGAAAATAATTGCCCAATATATATTTTTTTTTTTTTAAGCCATGACTTACTGTTTGCTCAGGTTTATGAAAACATAAATTAATTTATAATATAGTTAATATGAACTATACTGTTATGGCTAATGTATTATAATATTTATAATTTGGACAAATTTTAATCCTAAATTATAATATTAACTTCAAATTTTTTATAATATATGGATCTGGGGTACCAAGAGCGGGACGGAAATCTTGATTCAGCACATGTTCTTAACACAAATGATCCTGTAACTTCCGTGATGGTGAGTTTTGCTGGGTCTAATTTGAACTCAAACATCCGACCAAAATACACCTACACTTATACTCGGTCTAACATTATGTACAAAATATGCGGCACTGTGTGTGCCCCCTTCGACAAACAATGAAATCTAAATGTTTTATGTAAACCAAATGCTTCATGTATTCCTATTACGTATCCGCGAGATTGAAGAGAAAGAGAAGAAGACGATTAGTGCCTTTCTTGCTTTTGTATCTTTAGTTTTTAAGTTTTCATGATGCAAGAATGATGAAACGCGAAAGGAAAAACATAATGCAATGTGTTTTGAAGAGAAACTTACATATCATGTACATTTTTATTTCTTCTCATTCTCTTATATTTTTCTCATATGATTTAATAAGTGCGTTACTTGTAAGAGAGAAATCCAATAATTACTACATAGCAGAAAAATACGGTGCTTGTTTGCTGGTTTATTTGTCCCACAAGTACTGGAAATGCGATGGGTAGGATTTGGGTCGGTTACGACAAGAAGTTGTTTTAAAATTTGTGAGACATCCAAAATTTTGTCTTTACATCATTTTTCAATTGATAAAGAATTTACTTTATTAGGTAAAAAGGTTAATCCAATTCCAAAGATATTAATAATCCATATAGGCAGATGTTTAAATCAATGTTAAATTCGCTAATCTTATTCTTATCCGAGAGTGTTGAGTGTGAGATATGCAAAAAACTTGACATATTTGCTAATATATGATATAACCACATCCATTAGTAGAATTTAGTTTTCTTTATTTTGCACCATTTAAAATATTACCATACGTGAGATCAATGCGATAATTTTCATTGTATTTTGGCCTTTTTGTTCACTAGGATGTAGGATCTGTTTAATCAGTCTTTATCATTGTCTTTTAACAGGGTAATACAAAATACCACTTATATTCAAAATTAAGGTAATTAGTATAAAAATATACTGCTAGAAAGATTTACATCTAAAGTGAATAAATAAAAGATCCATAGTCCAGCACAAACAAGCAGTTCAATGTTGAATTACTAACGAAATAACTGCGTCCGGCCAACTGAAAACACAAATCATGGCACACAACATTATCATAGTGAATTATGGAAGCATGTAATAATAGCAATATTGTCATAATATGTGGGATTAATATTATTAAAGAAAACAGTATAAATATGTCCATGAAAATTTTGAAGTTGCAGCATCTATTTGTCTTTTCCCTTGATTTCACTCAATCCAAAGTTCCATAAGCACCCTAAATCTAACCCCCACTACCCTAATTCTAACCCCTAACTTAAAATTAAAAAACCCCCAAATTTAAGAACCCTAATTTGAACCCCTAATTTAAGGACCCTAATCGAAACCCACTGCCGTAATTCTAACCCCTAATTTAAAATCAACAACCCTAATTTAAGAACCCTAATTGCAACCCACTGCACTAATTCTAACCCCTAATTTAAAATCAAGAACCCTAATCTAACCCTAATTTAAAATTGGAAGCAAGCAAAACCTAAAATTCAAAGAAAAGGGAATGCAAATTAAGATGAAATTACCTCTTGGAGATGAAGACACGACGACCGGAGAGCAATTGTAGGCGAGGCGAGGTGAGTGAAGGAGAGAAGGGGTGCAATGGCGTTGGAAGAGAAAGAGAAGGGAGAGAAAGGGTATCAGAGGAAGAAGAGAGAAGTGAGGGGAGGAAGAAGATCGATATAAGTATATACACTACAACAAAAATGGCCACTGCACACGATAAATTATATGTGCCTTTTGAGGCCAAAGAGCACCAACACATGTGCCCATAGACCAATAGCAACAGTGCAGTTACTATCTTTGTGTATGTGCGCTCTATGGACATCACCTTTGACCATTGGGCACAATACAGTCTTTGATGCCCAAAAAGCTTAGCACAAATAGGGGTTCTTTTGTGTCTCAGTTCTGACAGTTCTGACAACACTAACTTTTTCCAAGCCATGTTAGCACAATTTTGTTTTTGTGCCCAATAGGTAAAATATTAAAAACAAAATTCAAATATTACAAAAATGCTTTTACAATTTAGTTCTACAAACAATCAATTCATACGAATAATGAAAACAAGCATTTCTGAACACTTGAATCTTTCCCAGAAAGCTTTTACTTCATCCCATCTTGTTCCACAAATAAATTAATCAGCCTGTCTATATAGAATTTGGGCCTCTTCCTGCTAAGGTTATGAATAAAAACCTCCAAGATAAAGAAACCACACAACTTACAAGAACAACGAAAATGAAAGGAAAATACATGAATATCAAAGTAGATGTATTTTCTCTAAAATGATTTGAATAAGTTCACAATATCACCTGCAATTTTGAAAACTCATTCTTAACAATTGTATTCATGATATCAGTAGGTAGAATGTTAAATCTACAGTCATGTGATTTAAGTATAGTCGTCAGACACCAGAATAAATACACCATAAATTCAAACCACTTCCACATTCCATCTCAAATTACACACAAATTGACCTCATGCGTTCATCAATGGAGACATGCTATTTACATAACACATTCATGAGCTTGCAGACAGTAGACTAAAACCACTGATGCCTAAACGCGCTAAAATCAGAAAGGACTGCTTTCACAAATTTATGCGAGACAGAACCTAATTCATATTTTAGGCATGCACAAGCAGCACATTTACAGATCAGCCAAGTTCAAGCTCAAATAATTGCAAGGAAGAATTTTACCTTTGAGGGCGTGAGGATCTATGAGACACTTCTTGTATAGACGGATTTGCGTTGGGATTTGTAGTGAAGATGAAGGAGAGAAAGTCATACACAGAGAAGCAACCACATGCATGAGGATTTCACGGATCAGACTGAACAAGGAAGGTTAAAGGACAAGAAATGTACAAGGAGATTTATAGGGCTTACCTTTTGGGTGTCGATTGCAGTACTGAGGTGGTACTAAGCTCAAGGAATTTCCAAGACTCCATGGTTGCGTCAGATTTACAATTTATGAGTTTTGGGTTGCAGCGTTACAAAAAAAAATTGTAGGAGGATGAAGCGGATCTGCGACGATGAAAGTGATTTTGGGTTGTGGCTCTACTAATTCTAATGGCAGGGCTGGGATTTGCTTGGAAGAAATGAGGGAAGGGCCTTAAATATGAGAGAAATAACTGAAGAGCGACTCTGGACCTTACCTCGGTAGAGAAAGCAATGAACTCGCTGGAACTCTCTCGAATTCGAGACGGAGCTATGGTTCTCCGATTTGAGGTTCGAGTCTAAGTTCTGGGACTTTGGGTTCTAGTTCCATGTTTGGTGTGAGGTTGGGACGAGGATGGTGGTGATTTGGTGTTTGAAGTCGTCGGAGAACATGGTGGCTGTGTTGCTCGGGGAGAAGTGAGCCAAGAAAGAGAATAGAAGGATGAGGGACAGAGGGAGAAGAGAGAAGAGGAGCCGAGGGAGAAAAGAGACAGGAGTGGGGATGACAAAAAAAAGTGAGGGGAGAATAAGGGGTTTTGCACGAAGAAGAGAGACTCACACATGGGTAGGTCCCACGGCACACTACTCAAACATAAACAATATTAAAATAATTCAAATGCACAAATCCATAATTGTGCCAACATAAGAGATGCAGAGTTTGAGTACGGGGAATGGGGATGGCAGAAAGAGAGTGAGGGGAAAATGAGGGGGTTTGCACGAGGAAGATGGACTCACACGTGGCTGGTTCCCACGGCACACCACTCAAACATAAACAATATTAAAATAATTCAAATGCACAAATCCATAATTGTGCCAACATATTCTTTTGCAGTATGAGAAGTGGAATGATTTATAATTTGTTATTATTGTTGATGCACAAAATCCGAGGTCTTAGAACAACGTAAATCCGACCGTAAATCATGCAAGAAATGTAAATAACATAAGATGTATCATGGTTCACCCCAAGGTTTGGGCTACGTCCACACTGATATTGTATTTCTGAGAGGATTGTAAGGGAGAGAGTGTGAGGATCTTCTCTGAATATGAGAGACCTTGAGAGGATGAGGGTGAACCTAAGAAATGGCCTCCCCTCATTGTGAGGGTGAGGAGTCCCTTTTATAGAATAAGGGCTCCTCTCTTATTACATATTTGCCCCTCTATTTATTACATAATAACATTTGAGTCCCCCGAGTATTTATACGAGGTCTAAATATGGAGGCCCTAAGTATGGTATAAACAACTATTTTCTGGACACAATTTTTAAAATTTGTGTCACAAAAAGGAAATTTATAATTATTAATATTCAATGGGCATTTATTTTCAAATTGTGTCATTTGTCTATCTGAAGACCCACTACACCTTTGTACGGTTAATTAGATAGATGACCTTATAGACATAATTTTTTGTTATGTGTCACTGCATGAAAGACTTCTAATACAATTAAAAAATATAAACACTTACGATAAAGACAAAAATCATATCATCAAGTATCAAAAACCAACCTGCAAGAAGATTAGAATGTAAAAAGCAACTGAAAAATATAAGAATCTAACAAGCATTCATTGTAGATTCAACGTAAATCTAAAACATGTCACTTAGTACTACAATCTAGTGGTATTTCTCTTCACTTGTAAGTAAGGGGTTTTAGGTTTGATTCTTGCCAAATACGAATTTGAACTACATTATTGCTAGTTTATTTTGAGACTAGAACACTGCACAACATTAAATAGCTCCATACCATTATTTACCACAATTTTATAATTTATTTTATAATCTAATTTTTTGTGTGTGCTAAATGTAAAGACAAAAAAAGCTGACAAACAAATTTTTATTGGTTTGTTGACTCTTATTCAAATAAATTTAGACTCCGAAATTTTTTCAAGAACTGATCCAATTGGTAAAGCCTTGTAATTTGACAGCAGAAGTATCGAATAGAAAAATAAATTTAGAAAACATCCACTTGATCCAAACAGTGGATCTACTAGGTGATGGTGATGAAACGTGTGTGTGTGCGGCACCTTGATCAATAAAAACTAATACTAAAATATGATTGGTGTCTAGACTGATGGAGGAAGACACGAACATTGTGCCTATAAAATCAAATGATTTAAATATATTAAATTAGAGGGCACAAAAATGTTTTGTGTTTTTGTAAATTAATAAAAAATTAGTATTACGGATATCCATAAATAGTGACACAAACTTTTGTGTTCAAATTTTAATAGGCACAGATACATTTTTGTTTAGACACTAACTAATGTGCCTTTTTGTTCAGAAAGCACATTTGTGATAGTTTTGTGTCCATTGACATCTAAGAGCACCAATATATATGTGTGCTCAATGAAAATGCAAAGGGCACATATCAATTGTGTTCTTAGCCCAACTAAGGCTTTGTCACACAAACTTCTATGCTTCGTCGGGATTTTTTAAAAATTTCCACAAAAAACAGGCATCTTTATTTTCATACATTTGCGCGACGAGATAGACTTTATTTATAATCTAATCCAAATATTTACATCCATAGCAAGTGTCTAAAAATTAAATCCCCTCGTAAAATTATAATGCTTGGGCGACGTAAAAGTGTTATGCGTCGCGCAATTATGTTTATAAATGGAATATTTTTTTTTTTGTAGAATTTTGATTACAATTTATTATAAAATACTAATAAAACAAATGTATTTACAACGTAATTCACATATAAAATGCATTAACCATTTAATGTATTTTACAACAAAAATTACAAATAAATTGCATTAATCTTCATCCAAACTATAATAACTTTCACTTTTGTCGCTAGGGATGTAATATCCACACAGCCCATTTTACTTCTCACACACCCTTCTAATTTTTGGGCGTTGGATCAGATGAATTGAAGAAGACCAACGGACATAAATTAACAAGGGGTGTGTGAGAAGTAATTTGGGGTGTGTGGATAGCACACCCCTTGTCGCTATCATCATTTTCAATGTCCCATACCTCATCATCATCGCTAGGTACATCACCATCATCGTTTGTGCTTACTGGACCATCGTAGCGCGGAAGATTACCGAGGTCAGTTGTGATTGATTGAATAGGTATTTCAATTGAAGATACTCCTTCTATCTGAAATGGTTCTTATAAGATTAGTCCGCACCAATTTCCATCGAAGAATCTAGCCATTGATCAGCGACATTGTCGATGTTGTCGTCAATTGGATCTTGTTTAGGTATAGTATACACGTTCCTATGATCCATCTTCTGAACAACTTTCCAACCCCTCCTAGCTTTAAGGTCTTCTAGATACAAAATTTGTTTTGCCATGTTTGCTAAGATGTAAGGGTCGTCATCGTACCAAGTTTTGGTAGTGTGCAATGATAATAATCCATGATCTCTTTTAACACTTCCCTACCTATTTGGGTTTGTATCAAACCATCGGCACTTAAATAAGATCACTTGGCATCGGTCTTTGTAAATCAATTGCACGACACTTGTTAGTTTGCCATATAATTCAATGTTTGAACTTTTGCCTCCACCTGGGATATGAACACCGCTGTTTTGCATACATAACTTGTCATCTCGTGCATCCCCTAAGAATTTGACACCGTTAACATGGCAACCCGAGAACAATTCAATGTGAATCGGTTCGAACACCAAGTTTTATAACTCTTCATTGTACGCTGGGGAATTTGATGCTTTCAATTGATTGACCTAATATTACATAAACACTTAAATTTGTTAGTTCGAGTAAAATAATTGGTACAATATATATGTCCAATACAAAACACTTCAAACTTACATATTCAAAAAACCACCGCGGAAACAATTCATGGTGTTTCTTGGCATACAAATGTGAAAGATGTGCCTGCTTCATCATATCTTCATTCTCGTCTAGGTATGACATTGTGTCGTCACAATTGTTGAGTACGAACCAATGTGCTACCTCTATGTCCTTTTTGAAAATGACTCGCCTCGTATTGGATCTCTGAAGGGTCGAGCGATTTGGGCAAAAACTGAAAGTTTCTCCTTTCTCACACCCTCGTCATTATTGCGAGGAGGATGATTGAAAGTTGATGCGAAAATGAACTTAACACAAATTTAACCCTCTTTTGACAACTGTAGTATAAGTATAAGTAAGGATCGTTCTGGACCGGGGATTAGGAGGGCTTGCTAATAACCTCTAAACTGACTTAAAAACATAAAACTAAACTTAAAAAATACTTAACAAGACTCACAAGACTCAAAGCAAACTTAAAATATTCAAAACAATTTAAAACAACTAAATAAACTTAAACTAGACACTAGGAATGACTTTGGATGAAAATTGACTTTTACTTGAATCAAAACATTTAAAAACACAAATTAAAACAGATTCTAACTAATTAGACACACTAAAGTAAAGGGGGATTGAGTTTTGGACAAAGTTGAAACACACAAACAAGTATGAAAAACTAGACAGATTGTAAAACAAATTTGAGAAATAAGATGATGGATGGGATAGCTAGAGGCTTTTTTCTCCACACATGACATGTATGCAAACAACTCGATTTCCAGTTACTACTTCATTGAATTATGAACGACAACTCTCAGATTTTCCTTGGTTTATTGGATTGGATGACATCATTCGACAACCCAAAACATTCTTCTAAAGTTCCCTACATGACATCATCATAGAGATACAATCAAAGATCATTACGTTTAATGAAAATCATAAGCATTGACAAAGCACTTGCAACTATGACATTATGTCACTCATGCTAGGAATTGAACTTAACGCGATCGTTTATAAGCGACCTTCACTACATGTGAATATAAGTTTGTAATTATTATGTGAAACTTCCTTATATTCTAGCAACGGATTTATGCATGCCAATTAAGTGTCGACCCTTAATTAACAAATACAAATAAGTTATCAATCAAATAGTTAAGCCAATTGCATTCACGATTCAAGAGTTCATAACTGGAATTTATCAAATTATATTGCACACATAATCATGGCTTTGAAATCACCCCTTGCCAAGAGGGGTTTAGCCACTCATATTTACAACAAAACGAAAGGAAATGAATTTAAACATTAGAAACAAAAGAAAGAAAACACCTAAACGCTCCAACGATCCAAGTTCGATAGCAAGCACGTCCAAGCACTTTACTTCCCTTCCTTTGCTAGGCACAAGGTGTTGGTGAGTGTTTGAAGGTTTGTTTGTATGGAGGAATGGCTGAATGTGTTTAGGTTGGATGGAGGTCACGGCAAGGAAAGGGAAATGAAGGTGCATGGAATTGTGTTTTTGTTGTGGGAATGTGTAGAATAGTTAAGAAGAAAAGACTCTGCCTTGTGGCAAAATGTGTCTTACTCCCTTCTCCCTAAACTGTCCCCCTAAATGTGTCTTTGGATGGATATATTTATAGGCTAGGGAGAGGATGTAGTGGGTGGTGGTAATGAGTGGATGTAGTGGTAGGTGAATGTGTTGGGTGGTTGAAATGAGTGGATGTGTTGGGTGAAATGAGTGGATGTAGTGGTAGGTGAATGTGTTGGGTGGTTGTAATGAGTGGATGTGTTGGGTGAAATGAGTGTGCTAAAATGGTTTTTTATAGGGAGAGGA